TTTTTTTTTTTTTTGCAAAACTTTATTTTAACAATGTATTAACTCATTAATCCGTTTATATTAATATAAATAACTACATATATATTTTTTTTAAAACAAAAAAATAATAATTTTACATATTTTCGTTCACGATAATATTCAAATATTTTTTTATTCACAAATTTATTGTCGTATAATGTCAATATTATTTATAACATTCACAGAAGTAATATTCCATTTTTTATATATAATGATAAATATTTAAGGTATAGTAACATTATTTATTGAAGTGACTAATTTAAAAATATAAAAGTAAATCTAATGTTTGTTATAAATGTGATAGATCTCAATATTTTAGGTACAAATATATAATATATGAATATCTTGAGATACAAAAGAAATTTCTATGTGATTTATTACCTTAATAAATCAACTGCAATTACCTAAATTGTATTTTTAAAACATACCATAAAGTGTTTCAATAGTTTCTAGAATTAGTAAGCAACATTTTTCAGGAGGAAATAGTTACTATTTAAAAAATAATCAAACATTTATATATATATATATAGACATCTCATAAGTTTTATTTAAGTTTTGTTTTATATCTGTATAATGAGTTGTAAATTAGGTCATCAAACTCACAACTCATGAGTGCATAAATAAATCAAATAAAGACAGAATCATACAAAGTATTCTAAGGAAACGAGCGAGTCGAGCATTGGCCTTATCGAGCAAGATTGGTTTTTATTTTTAGCTGCTCGAGCTCGACTCAATAAAAAATTAGAATAGCTGGAGCTCGGCTCGTTCGACTCGAAAATTTTTAAGAGGAAAAATAAAATTATCATTAAGGACATATGCAAACTTATATAAGGGGTATTTTAGTAATCTAACATGTATCTCGAGCCGCTCGACGAGCCACTCGACATTACACAATATGGGCTCGAGCTCGACTTGAGTTCGTGTTCAAGCCGCTCGAGCTCGATTCGAGTTCGGTTAAACTCGAGCTCGAGCCCAGCTTTGGCTCGAGCGCTCGCGAGCCGCGAGCGCTTTATTATTATTTACTACCAAAGTACCATTGTTTTTTGTTTTTGTTTTTTTTTTTTTTTAAAAAGATATCTAGGGTTTTTAGAGTGCTTGTATAAAACTGCATTCTAACTCTCAAAATTACCCAACTATCTCGACCAATTGACAGTAATCAGGCGGCGTCTGAGAAGAAGAAGAAGAAGAAACAATGGGGCACACAAACATCTGGAATTCTCATCCTAAGACTTACGGCCCTGGATCTCGTACTTGGTAACTCCATTTCCCTAAATCTCTGTTTGTTGTCTTTTGTTTTTCCCTGTCTCGATTTGTTTGAATTTGTTCATGCCTTCTGTGTTTTCGTTTGATTTTCCTTTTGTGTTCTTGTAATCGTGTTAAATTTGAACGGCAACATTTGTATTCGGCTTCTGTTGTGGGTTTTTTTTGTTCTAATCGATTTGTGTCGATTTGAAAACTGAGTGTTATCTATTGGACTGCAATTTTTTTTTTTTTTTTTTTTTTTTTTTTTTTTTTTTTTTTTTTTTTTTTTTCAGTTTGTGTTTGAACGTACTGTTGAAATTAGCTCATAACCCTTTGATTCAGATGCATGTGTCTGCAGCTTAGGAGTGAGTACTAATAGTTTAGTTTAATGGAGTTGGAGAATGGTGCTTGGTGGAGCTTATTCAATTGATCTTTTGCAATTAATTGAAAATTTTACGATTTTGAAAGTAAGTTCTTGATGGGTTTTCTTTTTTTCTTCTTTTTTTTTTTTCTGTAAGCTTTTTTCCAATTGCTTGGAAGATGGTCGAGTGTTATGAAATGGCAGCCCCGTGGCGGTGTGGTGTGGCGGATTTTTGACAATTCGCCATGCAAAATTTGTGAGTGATGGCGGTCATGGCGGCGCCATAGACCGCCACGCCATAGACCGCCACGGCGGCAGCAATGGCGGAATTTTGGCAAAACGCCATGTAACGCAATCCGCCACTAATAACACTAGATGATCTGATTTCTGCTTGCCACCAGCTAACTTTTTCCATCTTATAAGTTCTCATTAAGTGTTCTGTATTCGAGTGGGGAATTGGGATAAATCAAATTTGTTTTACTTGAAAGTAAAAAAAAAATAATAAAATAAAACAAAACAAAAGTTAACTTCTTAGCATATAAATGGAGCAGGGAAATGGATTGAATCAGGTTTGCAGATGTTGAAACCTAATTACAAAGTAGAAAAATAAAGTTTTAAGCTTCAGATGAAATGAATTTTGCAGTGTTGTGATTAATAATTGTTTGGTTGGAAATTTAATGTTCTTTGTTGTATTGTTTTTCGACAGCCGTGTATGTGGCAACCCGCATGCTATCATCAGGAAGTATGGTTTGATGTGCTGCAGACAGTGCTTTCGTAGCAACGCCAAGGAAATCGGCTTCATCAAGGTATTTGTTTTGCCTACCCTCTTATTTGAAATGAAATTTGTTTGATATTGATTTATTTTTTTTTGGTTCGATTTCTTTGTGCTCGTGCAGTATCGTTGAGCCTTTGGGATGGAGGTTTTATCACGACTTGAAGATTACTGTTTTGGTCCTACTAATGTATCATTTTAGTTTTTGTTTAGAATCGAATGTCGTGAGAAATGATTATCTTGGTCTTTCAATTATCTTTTTATCCTGTGAACCCATTTGAGATAAAATTATATGTCAATGTTTCGAATTTGAACTTGGCGGCTTTGATTCAGTGAAAATGTGAACCTTGCTTTTTCAATCATCTGCTTTACTTTAGTGAATTAGTAGTGATATTATGCTTGACTGGAGCTTGTGGCAACTGTTAAAGTTCATTTACATGTTCTATTTGATTGGCGAATTACATAAAACAGTCGATCACAGTCCAAACGTGTTATATTATAGGAACACGATTAATTTCATTATGATGTCGAGAAAAAAAACAAAACATGTTGAATCTATGCATAATACACCATTGCACATGTGTTTTCATCAAACATGTCCGACTCTGTCATATGCATAAATGATATTTGAGTTCTTGTGTACAGGGGCTAATTCGACTTTACATGTATAGCAATGTTTCAAATTATGGGATCACAATCACGTTTCACACGTGTGTATTGATCCAACGGCTCAAAAACTTTTCTACATTGTTGGGGCCGAAATACACCATCCATAGGTGTAGTATAGAAGACACTGTCCTAAGAGATTGTACATCATTCTTCTCACCACCTCGTCCACACAAACTTTTGTCATACATACATTATTCCACATGCCAACAAAAAAAAAAAAAACCATGGATTTTGATTGATTTTCCTCATTCAATAATATATATTTTTCAATACTATAATAGCCACTAAATCAGATTAACGATTAAACATTTTTATTAAATTAAAATATAATTCTAAAAAAAAAAAACGCATGACGTTTCATAGCATAAATACACAATTATATTAAAATAAAAGTATAACACTTAGCTAAGATTATGTTTGTTAGACAAATAAACTAGTTTATAGCTTATGCGGTTAGCTTATAAAGCTTCTTGTTTTTAAATAAGCTTCGTTTGGCAGGAAAAACTTTTTTAAAAAGTTCGAACTTATCTCATAAGCTTATTTGGATTACCTTTTCAAAATAAACTCGTTGAAATTTTTATTTCAGCTAGTTTATCAACTAATTTTACCAAATACTTTTACCAAATAATCTAGGGGGCGATTGTTTATAGTTTCAACAGTAAAAAAAACTAATCAAAAACTCAAATTTAACTCAACTTTAACCCACCTTCACTATCTCTCATATTATCAATATAATTAAATAATATCAACCAATCACTTTTAACATCACATCAATTTTAATTCACTATTCATCCACTCACATAATTTTAACTAACCATCAATTCCAATCATTTTTTTTTTTTTTCATATTTTACATCAAATCAACTTTAATTATTTTATTTAAATATTATTTTAATAAATTCACTAACAACTAACCATACCATTTTTTTCAAAGTTAACTATAGTTAAAAAACAAACCAAATAAAAACTAGTTGAATTCATAAACAATCACACCCCTAGCTTTTCAGCTACAAGTCATAAGCTATAAACTATAAGCTCGAAAATTATTAATAAACTATAAATTAATTTATCAGTTATCAGCTAGTAATGATTATTATGCAATTTCATACAATAATGAGTGGTTTTGTGAAAAAAATTATATGGATAAAATTGCAAATTATTCAATATCCAATCACACAAATAATACTTTTCCATAACAATGTAATCTCCAAGTCGCCACCTGATTGGTCCTCCGGATATTCCCCCTTACCATCTCATGGGCCCCACACTCACATATTTCCATTATTTGACTTGTTGACTTTTCCATGGCGCCACTCACAGACACACAGTGATATATAAATTCCAAACAAAACAAATAAAAAATTGATATAATCTCATCATCATCATCATCATCAACATCTCTCCCAAATCTGAAAAAATCTCGACCACATCGTACTCCCCAAAGTATTTCCCCACTATGGAGATGTCGCTAGCCTCGGTGTCTCCGAAACCGCCGCCGGCGGCCTGGCTCTGGAGCCGCGACGCCGTGCTGCCGGCGGGGGTGATGGCGATGGTGACGATGAAGAAGAGGAGAAGGGAGGAGAGGGGGTACTGGGTGGCGAGGGCGGAGGGGAACGGCAGAGGAGAGGCGGTGGAGGGCGGCGGGAAGAGGGAGGGAGGAGGGTACACGGTATCGGGCATGGAGGTGACCACATTCAATCAGAGCTTCAGCGATGGCGGTGGTGGTGATTTTCCGGTGTGGGATAAGATTGGGGCTGCTGTTAGGGTCGGCTATGGAATAGGTTGCTTGCTAATTTTCTTTTCTTTTCCTTTTTTTTTTTTTTTGTTTTCATTATTTTGCTATTTTGACTCTTTTTGTGTAGCTAGTTGCTTTTAAGTTAATTTTGGGTGGATAGCTGATAGATTGTAGTTGATGATTGAACGACTTGCTCGTATACTAAATTTGTTCGGTAAAATTAGTTGATAAGTTAGATGAACAAGAATCTGAATGAGTTTTCTTTAACACTATGTAGAGTGGCATTTTGAGCTTTTGAAAA